ATCTTTATAGAAGTGGAAAGCTTGGTTCTTCACCTGTGGAGTGACTGGTGGTTTCAAATGCTGACCTTGTGGCTAGCAGCCGGAGGAGTAACCGCTACACCACCAAGCCTCTCTATGGTACCTGGAGTGCGATAAAGAATAGTAACATAATGTGGAGTGCTCCTGAATCTTAATAGGTAGATGTCCCTGTTCTGCATATAAAAACCAATGCTTGTCCCCAAACTGATTTCCATATCACACAGAAAAATCTAAGAAGAAGAGAAAGTCAATGCTATACACATCAGCTGTCTTGATGTCTAAACTAGTTTGGTCTAACAAATGTGCCCCAAAAGGAAACCCCTCAGTCCTGGTACAAAATTAGTCGGGTAGCCATTAGAAGTAAGTGAAAATCCCTGAGAACCAGCAAGTCTTTGCAGAGATTATGTAGTCACTATAAGAAGTCCTCTGTAAGGCAAGCAGTTAAGCACTTAGCTACTAGCTGAAAGATTGGCAGTTCAAATTCACCCAGAGGCACCTTGTAAGGAAGACCTGGCAATCTGCTTCCAAAGGCCACAGCTGTTAAAGCCTTATGAGGCCCAGGTCCTGGGCTCCCCAGGATGAGACTTGATGGCAACTGGTTTCATTGTACTTTTCTAGATAATGCCAGAAAATTCAAATTTAAAAAAATAGAAATAAACACAAATATGTTCCTTTTAAATATGACATTGTTTAGCTTGATATAGCATTTAAGTCAACTTCATTGTTACTCACTAATCAACCCATTGCCCTCAAGCTGATTTCTACTCATACATAGCCTATGATTCACTAACTCATGTTCACATTCACTGCCATCAAGCAGATTCTGACTGAAGGCAACCCTATAGGCCAGGGTAGAACTACCCCTGAGGGTTTCTGACACTATACCTCTTTATAGGAGTAGAAAGCTTCATCTTTCTCCCACGGAGCAGCTGATAGTTTTGAACTACTGCACTTGGGGTAACAGCCCAACAAGTAACCACTACCCCACCAGGGCTCCCTAATATATATTACAATTAATATTAAATCTGATTTTTTTACCATACCCAAAATTATGTAACAAAATCATGTGACAATATTTTATCTTCCTGCATATGCTTGCATCTTTTCAAAGACTGAGATTAAATCCCTCAGATCATAAAATGCCTGAATAAAACCAAATTATTTGTTAAAGAATCCAAACTACCATATTGAAATCAGCAAGGGTATGCCCATTGTAATGACGAGAAGAATGCAGATTTAAAAGAATCTCATTATCACCTAAAGATCCATTTTAAGTCTGTAGACCTCACCCTGAGGAGAAAAATGAGGCAAAATCTTCAGTCCAGTAAAGATGTATAGTCTAGGAAGCCCGTAGAGCTGTTCTGACCTCTCTTACAGGGTCACGCTGAGTTGGAAAGGACCCGATGGCAGTGAGTGAGACCTGGTTTTGCATCGAGTTTGACGACTAACCTAAACCCCCAACCCACAAGTCCACAGCCATGGGGTCAATCCCAGCCCACAGACAGCCGGAGAACAGAGGACAACTGCGCCACATGGTTTCTGACAGTGGGAGTCTTTTTTTCCAATCATTTTATTGAGGGCTCGTACAGCTCTTATCACAATCCACACATCCATCCATTGTGTCAAGCACATTTGTACATTTGTTGCCATCATCATTCTCAAAACATTTGTTCTACTTAAGCCCTTGGTATCAGCTCCTCATTTTTTTTCCCTTCCTACCCCACATTCCCTCGCGCATGAACCCTTGATAATTTTATTATTATTATTTTCATGTCTTACACTGACCGATGTCTCCCTTCACCCACTTTTCTGTTGTCCATCCTCCAGGGAGGGGGTTATATGTAGATCATTATAATTGGTAACCCCTTTCTCCCCCTACATTCCCCTTTCCCTCCTGGTATCGCTACTCTCATTATTGGTCCTGAGGGGTTTTTCTCCTGGATTCCCTATGTTTCCAAGTCTTATCTGTACCCATGTACATCCTCAGGTCTAGCTGGATTGGTAAAGTAGGATTGGGGTCATGAGAGTGGGGGGTGGGGAGCATTAAAGAACTGGAGGAAAGTGGTATGTTTCATCGGTGCTATACTGTACCCTGACTGGCTCATCTTTTTTTTTTTAATCATTTTATTGGGGGCTCGTACAACTCTGATAACAATCATACACAAATTGTATCAATCACAGTTGTGCATATGCTACCATCATCATTTTCAAATCATTTTCTTTCTACTTGAGCTTTTGGTATCAGCTCCTCTTTTTTCCCTAAATTTCCCACCCTCCCACCCTTGTAAACCCTTGATAACTTATAAATTATTGTTATTTTCATATCTTGCACCTTCTTTTATCATTTTATTAGGGGCTCATACAACCCTTATCACAATCCACACATACATCAATTGTGTCAAGCACATTTGTACATTCATTGCCCTCATCATTCTCAAAACATTTGCTCGCCACTTGAGCCCTTGCCATCAGCTCCTCATTTTTCCCCTCCCTGCCTGCTCCCCCCTCCCTCATGAACCCTTGATAATTTATGAATTATTATTTTTGTCATATCTTGCCCTGTCTGACATCTCCCTTCACCCACTTTTCTGTTGTCTGTCCCCCAGGGAGGAGGTTATACGTAGATCCCTGTAATCGGTTCCCCCTTTTCACCACACCCTCCCTCCACTCCCCCACCCCCAGTATTGCCACTCTCACCACTGGTCCTGAAAGGATCATCTGCCCCGGATTCCTTGTTTCCAGTTCCTATCTGTACCAGTGTACTTCCTCTAGTCTAGCCAGATTTGTAAGCTAGAATTGGGATCATGATAGTGGGTGGGGAAGGAACATTTAGGAACTAGAGTAAAGTTGTATGTTTCATCATCGCTACACTGCACCTTGACTGGCTCGTCTCCTCCCCATGACCCTTCTGTAAAGGGATGTCCAGTTGCCCACAGATGTGTCTTGGGTCCCCATTCTGCACTCTCCCTCATTCACAATGATTTGATTTTTTTTGTTCTGATGATGCCTGACACCTGATTCCTTCAGCACCTCGTGATCTCACAGGCTGGTGTGCTTCTTCCATGCGGGCTTTTGTTGCTTCTGAGCTAGATGGCCGCTTGTTTACCTTCAAGTCTTTAAGACCCCATACGCTATACCTTTTGATAGTTGGGTACCATCAGCTTTCTTCACCACATTTGCTTATGCACCCACTTTGTCATCAGCGATGGCTCATCTCTTTCTTGTAACCCTTCTGTAAGGAGATGTCCAATTTTCTACAGATGGGTTTGGGTCTCCACTCCACACTCCCCCTCATTCACAGGGACAAGGGAACAACAAATGATCCAAAATCGATGTCGAGGAGTGTATAGGATGCTTCGTGGGGCTTGATCAAAAGCGATGTAGCCAAGAAGAATTACCAAAACCTAAATGAAGGCCAAACATGCTAGTGGGACAAGAGTAGAGTAAAAGAAAATAGAGGAAAGAACTAGGAGACCGAGGACATTTATAGAGGTCTAAATAGAGGCATGTAAATACATAGATATATTTATATATGAGGATAGGGAAATATATCTATGTACATATATTTATATGTTAAGTATTGAGGTAGCAGATGAATACTGGGGCTCTACTCAAGTACTCCCTCAAAGCAAGAAAACTTTGCTTTAATAACCTGGTATTCCGTGATGCTTAGCTTCCCGACACAATCACTGAAGACAAATGGGTACATAAACAAATATGGTGAAGGAAGCTGATGATGCCCAACTATCAAAATGTATAACATTGGGAGTGTTAAAGGCTTAAAGATAAGCAAGCGGCCATCTAGCTGAGAAGCAACAAAGTACACATGGAAGAAGGACACTGTGAGTCTTTACCAGAGCAGATAACCTCTTCTCTCTCCTGAGGAGGGGCTGGTGGATTTATACCACAGACCGAGTGGTGAGCAGCTCAATGCTTAACCCACAGTGTCACCGGAAAGGATGGTAGTTTGAACCCACGCAGCCACCCCACAGATAAAAGGTCCAACTGTTTTCACAAAGACGCCAGCTGAGAAATTCCTATAGAGCTGTTCTATCCCATGACACATGGGCTCACCATGGGTCAGAATCAAGCGACAGCATGGAGTTTGGTTTGGTTTTCACCCAGGTCTAGAATGACAATGGCCTGAATCCTGAATCTTTGGGTTTCAGCAACCACTCACTCTGTAAGTCAGCCTACAGGTGACCAGGTAGTTGGTCCGAGTTGGTCTCAATTAGAATCTGCCAGTCTTGGGGGGGTGAGATACCATGGCCTGTACTAATGGTGCCGTTGTATTATGTGAACGACAGTAGAGAAACAGAAAAGTAAAAACAGAATAAAAATCTAACGACACAAAGCCTCACTTAAAACAAAAACTGATTGAGTTCTGCCCAAAGTGGCTTGTTGTTTCCTGTGCCAGGAACTAGTGTGCCGGCGCAGCAGGAAGTGTGCTACAGCGCAGGATCGCATTACACCCTTGTTTTATGGTTCATTTCACGTCTTTAACGCAATCCGAGAACCTGCAAAAGGAACATGTTAGAAGGAGGGAGTAGAGGTTTTGTTTTGTTTTTTTAAGTTTTGTTGAATCAAAACATTTGTTTTTACAAGGTGCTTAACGTCACAGGGAAGGGAGACTTCCAGTGCTCGATGGTGAAGACGTTTCTTTTTGTCGCAAAATTTAATGCAAGACACAGAGTTGAGTGATGGCTAGAACTGAGTTATGTCTGTTGCCCTTGCTGTCCTGCTCACATAACTTTGAACATGAAGAATTACAACTGTGTGTATGAATAGTCTAAGTCACTTGGAATTCTATCTAAGCTTCCCGGAGCGTCTCTAATTTGGGAGAAAGCCATGATATTGGGGCAGGGGGCAGGAATGAAGGAGGAGGCACGGAATAGATTTAAGATGCAAACTAGCAATTCATTTGTCAAGCCAAGGAATGAGTCCTTTCAATGATACTGCTTGGAGATGTGTGAACTGAACAGCTGCATTTCCTTGTGGTGGCATATGCCGCTCCTCACACACTCTCTGTTTTCCCCTCCAGAGACCTCAGTATGAACAACATCAGTCAGCTGCCCCCGAGGCCCCTGCACAACCTCCGCTTCCTAGAGGAGCTGTAAGTATCCCTGCAGTCTTGATGAGTCTGGTCAACACTGGACACATGCCTGTGTTTGTCTCATACTTGCTGTGGGAACCAGATAAACCAAGACAGGAGAGCTGTCAGCACCCACAATATTGGCACATGAGGAAACACTTACAGGGGAGTGGGGAGAAAAATTGCTTGTGATTCTGGAAATCAACTTATAAAAGAGTTTACCATGAGCCTACAACTTTCTAAGGTGAGGCTGGGCCAAACAAATTAAAATTTTAAAACAAAGGCTGTTTTAAAAAGCTGGATAGCTCTTTGGAAATAGTTAAAGCAGCAGGATATTAAAAGTTTGAATACTGGTTCATGTTTATTAAAATAGCAAGTAATGCCATAATCAAAACCAAAAAGTACCGCTTGGTACAGTTTGTGACAAGGAAAATTGGGCCCACATTTCCTAGCACCAAAACTTCTTGTCCTAATCACTCTTAATTACTATTTTCCTACTTTTAAATTTAGCCTCCCTTAAGGCTTTAACAACAACAACAACAACCAGCAAAGAAATGAAACCCACAGGGAACTTCCAACTGGACTCTCTCCCAGACTCACTGGGAAAAATTAAAAAATGAAAAAGGAGGAAGCTAAAATTAGTTAATGATAGGAAGGACACTTAATTGGGCCTAGTAATCACTTTCCAGAAGATGACAAGGAACTGCCTAAACCAAAACTCTGCCTTTCAAAAAACGGCATGTGACCCTCTGACCCTCTTGAGTGACGTGCGGAAGGCAGGAAGGACTGCCATGGCCCTTGTGAACGAAGTTTGGCACCCTCAGCTGCATGAGCCCTCTGACTGTTGATTCAAGGAATTGTTCCGGCAATGGCCTCTTTTCAAAAGATTTGCTTCCTAAAGTCAGCGTCCAATTTGGGGAGTCATTTAAATTGTTGATGCACTACATGATCCTCCATGGGAGATGCAAAGAATGTCCCGTCATGACCAAATTGCTTTACACTGTTTTTGTTTTTTTCAAGAAGATAATATTCTCAAATTTCTAGTGAATATTAGTCTTAAACTCATGAATTTTATCTGGATTCCCTCAGTGGTGGCAACAGATAAGTGATCAATTACTATCTGATTGTAGAAAGATTGGCAGTTCAAACCCACCCAGAGACACCTCAAGAGAGGCCTGATGATCGGTTTCAGAAAGCTCGCACAGCCGTGAAAGCCCTGTGTTGTGTGGCAGTTCTTTCTGCCTTATGAACGTGGACTCACCTTGAGTCAGAATCAACTCAATGTCAACTAACAACGAAAACGGTCATTGATATTTATTTGTGGTACTATTGTAAGACATGCTTCTAGTTTCCTACTGGAATAAGTTGAATATGCCCAAATTGTTATCTAAGAGGATGATAGGGCATCTTAAGATACCAAGACGATGAGGTAAGTTTTTATCATTCAATGAGTGTGTTTCCTGTCTGGAGTTTCTAAGTTCCTCTTTTCTCTCCGGCCCTCTCCATTGCTAGAATTTAACCTTTATAAGATGCTGCAACCATCTCTGTCTTAGTCACAACTCACTCACTATCCTAGAGATGATTCTAACTCAGAGGGACTCAGAATTGCCTCTTTGAGTTTCCGGGGGAGAAAGGTGAGGTTGTGAAGATTTACAGTCTCCTAAACTCAAGGGGGCGTTCTGCTCCGTCCACCGTCTTTCTCCCAAGGAACAGCTGTGGACTCAACCACTGACCTTTTGGTTAGAAGCTCAGTTTGTAACCTACTACACCAACTGGTAGATAATAAATAATAATCCGTGAATTGATGAATGAAACAGCAAACCATCAGAGGAGCTTCTTTTACATGCTAATTGCCTTCGGAAAAGAGTAATGGATTTGACATTAGCAAATAATTTTAACGATTTCTTGGGGGGGGGTGATTGTTAAACATCAAGGGGTTCTTGGATTTTTTATTTTTGTTTTTCCTTCTTTACATTCTTCTCATCCTCGTTTCACCACCATAATTAATTACAATAATTAGTCCTGTTTACCACTATATTTCTAAGGTATACATTTCTTACCATTGTCTCTAATTTCTTTATAATATCCTGTGATGAAAACCTTCACCTCGCCTCAACACATACTTCAAGTTTAGACCACAAATGGAATCCGTAAATAATTTACTTCCCCAAAGACTTTGTTTAATAGAGTTCCTCCCTTGGTGACCCAATTTATTCAAAATAGCTCCTCTTTCTTCATGAGGCAGATCCTACTTCTGTCCTCAGGCCAGGTTTGTAAACGATAATTAAGAAAAACCTGGAGGGGGTAGGGTAGGTGGTGCCAAGGAAGAGAGATTGTTGCTTTTTTAAAAGGCTAACTTTCTGAAACCTCTTATTTTTATATCGCTAGGTATCCTATTCATGTATTTTGACGGTGGGATCACAGAGTTTCAGAAATAGAGGGGCCTTTGAAGGCTATTCGTTATGTTTTCTCATCTATTCTGGAACCCCTTTTGCTGGGCTGGCTGACTTGCTGCATTTAAAAGCAAGACCTCTCCCCATATATAATTCTGTATGGCGTTTAACTTGTGTTTTGAACATATCGTTATTCATTTTGTGGCAAAAATGGACAGTATTTAGAGTCTGGAAAAATGATCAACTCTGGTCTGTTCCTTTGTTCCCAAGGTTAGTTAAATTTAGGGTTTTGTTTTGTTTTTCAAATACACTTTACCAGAGCATTGTGATTATATTCTTATTTTCTCACCGATGGCTTTTGATTAACTTAATAGTGCTTGTCTATATTTTCTCTGAAGATCTTCAGGATATTAATATGACTATAATAACAAAACTAGTAATAATTTATTCAGTGTCAGGTACCCTTCAAAGTGCCTTCCATACCTGCGTTCACTGAATTCTCTTCTCAACCCCTTGAAAGTAGGTATTATTATTATAATTATGTCCAGCTCACAGAAAAGAAAACTGAGATGTAAAGAAAATAAAGAACTTAATCAGGATAATAGAATTGGTTAAGTGCCAAAGCTTATTTAAATGCAGGTCAAAACTAAGCGTCGAAGCCATTCTCTAAAAGTAGAGGGAAAGTTAGTAATTGTGTTTGGTTCATCGATGCTTTTTCCCCAGGACAGTACTCCTTCTGGGATTTGCATAGACTGGAAACTTTTAAAACGTGTATGTGTATGTATGTTACTGCATTATTAAGTACCATCATTTTCAACTCACAGTGATCCCTTCAGACAACGTAGAACTTCCTTATAGAGTGTTCAAAGGTGTGATCTTTTGGGAGCAGACACCTTCCTCATTCTCCCTTGGAGCTGCTAGTGGGTTTGGACAGCTGACCTCTAAGCCCAATGCTTGTATTATGAGAATTTTCAGAGGTAGAATATCACCAATCCAGCATTGCTCAATAGGTCAAAAACCCAAATTAACATTTTTATGTAAAAATCCATATATTTAAGCATCATGTTTCATATAGTATTTTACTTGAACTAAAAAAATTACCATCCTCACAATAAAATATAGATGTTGAGATATATGTCATTGTGTGTGTGTGATTTTTGGTACTATTCTGAGAGCTTCAAGTATTTCATTCAGTTTATTCAGCTCTTCTTTATGCTTTATTTCTCTATGCATTAAATAAGAAGATACTCCTAATACTATCATTAATCAATTATATCATAAATCACACTAGTAAAATTCCACAACAAAACTCCAGTTTTAAATATCACTATTCATAAAGCCAAGTAGCCACTCTTCCCCTGAGCATTAATTATCACTTTCCCCCCACTTTAATCCATTGAGGCAGGCTACAAACAGTGGACAGTCATGACACATCCCCCATTTATCCTTGGGGCTCAATAAAGGTCACATAGCCAACTTGATGCAAAAATCAGTCCTAGGGGATGTTCACTGACTTCATGTTTTGTTTTGTTTTTTAATTCATTCCTACCACAGGGAACAGACTTTGGAAGTCAGTCTGTTACGGGGGAAGTCTGTTACGGGGGAAGTCTGTTACGGGGGCAGAAGAGTGGTGGACGGCAAGAAGGGAAGATGAATCAATAGCTGGGGGGGTGGCAGGTGTTAACTGTTAACTTGGGTGAAGGGGAAGATAGTACGGTGATTCAAAAGAGGGAGACGGTAATCCAAAGAGGAGTAGGGTAGGCTATTGGGGATTTGATAAGTGGCTTAAACTATGTAACAAAATCATTATGTGCAATATGAAACCTCTACCTAATTCACAATTTTTAAAAAGTTGTTTAAAACAACAACAAAGCATAACATCATTGTGATAGAGTACCTGGAACAAAGACTAAGAGGAAATGCCATCATAGTTCAGGTCTCTTTTCTCCCTGCTAGCATTTTGAGACACTACCTGGGCCACATTTTTTGGCATATACATGGCTTGTTCTTTAGTCATTGTTTACTATTTCTTTTATGAGCCCCACAAATTCACCTGTCATACGTAGACCAGCCATCCTACTGGTGGCAATGAGCAGAGGGAAGACAGAGAACCCTCCTTTTTTGAAAAGAAAGAACTAGACAAGACATCTGGTTTAAGTGCAGTGGGGCTGTGCTGTATAAAGAGAAGAGCCCAGTACCTAGAACCCAAAGCCCAAGACTCCCCACTTGGCTGTGCCACTTATTAGCTTAAAATTCATTTAACTTCCCTGGGCCTCAGGGGGTAAATGATGCAAAATTCCCTGCCACTCTTTGGAGGTGTGTCTGAGGGTCCAATGAAATTATTATGACCATAATTTTATCATGATAGTTCACATAGGAGTTAGTAAAAATGTATTAAAGATATATTTGTAAAATGAAACACTTTCCAGAAGACACTTCTTTGCTAGTTCATCAACGATTTTGCAGGAACCCTAGAGATACAAGACTTATGAAGGTCAAGCTATTTCCAAATCTCGGCTTCGACGCAGGTAGGCAACCATCACAAATAGTTCTCTACCAAGTGTTAGCACCCTGAGATGTCATCACACCTCTTTCCCAAAGTATCTGCTCTCCTCTGGGTTCTATTTC